GTCACGCTTTTTTCAGCTGTTCATGTGTTTTAAAAGGTACTTCTATGGTTGCACCATCATACATTTTTGCAGACGCCACTCACCCTGCAAATATACTGTAGTCTTAGAATAGATGCGAAAAATGTGTTTTTCTTTTGATAATACAAAATTCGAATTGCTGTATCATGTCTGATTGTCATAACGGAGGTAAAAAGGCAGCAAGGACTGTTGTGTTCACTGATGTGTTTTAGTTTTAGATCTGGATAGGTTATGCTACACCCATGTAATTTCAGTCGACTTTGTAAGGCCAAGTGCAGCTGTGACAGTTTATATGCACAAAAAGTGAACCGTGCACATGGACTTTGTTGTCTTTTAGAACAATGAGAACATCAGTACCTATGCTTACAATGTACGATGTGTGAAACTGTTTTGTTTTATTACTTTGGACGTTTTTAAGAAAAGAAAATGGAATCAACACAAAAAAACACTGATTTTAAAGACCTGTATCCATTGACTGTGTCACTTTTACACAGAATCTAAGGTTGAGCAGATGAGCTATGTTTCCTTTGCATGATGCGTGAAAACTGACAAGTATAGGCAACTACAAATCTCTCTTGTCCTTCAACTCTGTATGGAATGCTGTTCCAAACTGACTGTTGGCAAAATTCCCTGATTCCCAGACCGAAATCTTATGGTAGTATCCCTGCTGATCCTCCCGTGTGGTAGTTTGGATATAGTTCTGTGCAGTGACCACGTTCTCAATGCTGTTGTTGTGAGTTTCAGTTTGTAGTAGGTTCTCCAGCAGTGCACCCTTGTTTTGGCTGCATGATGGTATCAGACCTGAATTTATGCATCCAAGACCCTTGCAGTAGTTCTGCTTGTGTAGTTTCAGTCCACTGGTACGTAACCAGACCTGTTCAGAACTGTTTTCATTCATTACATTTGCAATCGCATTGTATGATGATTTAAAGGGTGGTACAGCGCTTGTAACATCTGGTGGCCCTTGCCATAGCTTTGTATGTCTGCGTCATAGTTTTTTTACACCTGTATCCCTGAAGCTGAGCCCCTTCTGGTAAAAATCCCAACTGCAGATATGACACAAAAAAAAAAAGTAGGGTCTCTGGGTTTATGATAGAGTAAATCTCCTTTGAAGGACTGAGATCTCTTGAGAAATCCGTTTTGAGTTTTTGTTTTCATATTTTCCCGACATCTTTGACTCTATCCAGGTTATATTAAACTAGAAAACAAACATTTGGATTGTAGATTTATACGATACCGTTAATGGCCAAGTGTAGGTTGGCTTTCTGTTTTATTTTGTTGTTTTTTTATTGTTATTATTATTATTAGTATTCACTTTTGATACTGTGAAAATCTTTCATGCCGAAAGATTAAAACATGACAGTTTTGAGAAAAAACAATGTGTTGTGTTTGCTTTCTAAACTTATATTTTGGTAACATGCAAATGTGGTAATATAAGAAACAGCATAAAGATTAAAATAAGAGTATTCCGTTTTTGCAGTCCCAGCCCAATCCCAGAAGCTTTTGAGAATGAGAATGGGTAACTGCTTTGGTCACCATTCACTTTCAATGTTGTTTTGTTTTTTCTTCCAATGCAAGTGAAAAATGACTGAGGCACATTCTGCCTTGTTTGTTCCACAGAAGAAAGAAAGTCATACAGGTTTGGAACAATATCATGGTGGACAAATATGGACGATTGTTTATTTATGGTGAACTTGTATATTTGTTTTACATCTTCGAAATACTTTCGTTTGGTTTAGTCCCTTTTGGGCCACCGTAGTATGCGTAACCTGTATGTACGTACGTAACGCTTCCGTTGAGCAGCAGCAGCGTAACATGCTAGCTAGTATAAACAATGCTTGTTTGAGTGTAATGTAACATTTATCTGACATTTATGTACTAAATACCATCGCTAA